GAGGAAAAWGAGGAAAGCAGGGCATGGACAAYAAATCRTTTAAAAGCACAGGGCYRAAWAAATTTTTACTTGTGTAAAACAGAGGGCGGGGTAAACACAATGTTACAGTTTTTTTTATGACATGTCACCACTGATGTCGAGATAGAGTGCCACAGTGGTTGCTGAGTCCCTGTAGGGCTTTAGAGATGCCATGGCTGAGAACTGCTGTTTAAGTTGACAGGCAGCCATTTGCAGTTCTTWTTGTTGAATGCTCAGGAAAAATAAGATAAAAAAACACCCATTTTTTAAAATGAGCAGGAGTATTATAAAAGCAACAGTTTTGTAATGAAAAACAGCCATAAAAAGAACAGAAAGGGCCTAATTATGTGGTAAAAGTGTAATGATGGGAGGTTTTACTGCCAGGTGAGCTTATAAGCATGTTTACAAGGAGCAAAATTCAAAGCAGAGACGTGTCTGGCAGAGCTGTGATTGGAAATCTGCTGATTGTAGTAATTGTTATAATTACATCTTTTGTGTTTTTACACAAACTTAAAAAAAAACTTATTTTCTTTGAGGACTTTCCGTCAACCCAACACTGAAAGTTATTTGTTGTTTTGACATTAACTAAGCAACTTTTTCTGCTTTGATGAATTTACGTAAATCTACATMAAAACTTTTTTACTGTTTCTAATTGCACCAAACTTAAAGACTTCTTTGGTGTTTTTACATTACGTTAAAGTAATTTCTTGCTCTTTAATTACTTTTATGTCAACTTAACATAGAAACATCTTTGGTGTTTTTACTTCAACATGACAGTGTAACTCCTCTATTTTATTGTAGTGCTAACAATTTATCATTATTCACAAAATGTTGCTTTTAATGATAGTTTAAAATAATTCTGCATAGGCTACAATTATGTCGAATCACCATTAGCTGTGCCTCAAGACGCATCAAATGGCCTTTCTGCACTGCAGGTCCCAGCCTGGGTTCAAACCTGGGCTCTGTGTGTTTGCATTAGTTCGTATGGCCCAGTTTAAGCCCAATTTCTCAAACTCAGAAAAACACTGTTCTGATTGGTCGGCCTGATTTGTACTGTGATTTGATGTCAGCTACTGTTGCCCATTRATTGATTCACTGACTGGGGGATTTACATCACACACRAGATTAAATTTACAAGAATCATTTGCAATCATTTGTAAGGTTTTTCGTTGTTTTTATTTTCACACAAGTTCAACTAAACAACAACTTTAGCAAGCTATCAAGCAACAACAAGCTAACATTAGCTTACGTTGCCTTGCTTCTCATCTTCAGCGTCATACTGCTGGATGGTCCAAAACAATTATCAGTACTTTTCCTTTGAGTATGATGTAATCCATTGTTGTTTCGCAAATTAAACTAAACAAGGTTTGCAGGTGTTTTAATATTATAATCCTCGCTCACATTGAGACATCTCTCTGCAACAATCAAGTATTTTTACTGTAGTCTTTGGAAAAAGTAGCAGCTAAAGCACTTGAATCTGCTGTTTGATATTATTTACAGGACTGCAGGTATTTTCCTCCACAAGTAATCTCAGCAATCTTACATTGAAGTTTTACAAGCGGAAGTGTAGTTCGGATTTTAAATGATAAATTAATTCTTTTAAAGTGAATTCAAACAAATCATCCACTCAAATACAGTTTGAAGACAATCATCCTAGCAGACTTTGTGTTACGTAACCTCAAACTTCTATTATTTTACCTTTCAAAAGATAATCTTCTGTTTTTTATTTCACACTATGTATTTGACAGTTTTTGTTTCTAATTAGGATTTTCTTTTAAATTACACAATGGATGATTTACCAAGACTTTCATAACAACACATTGCAAAAGGATGAATAGTGCTTTTAGGCATTTAGGGGGCTTTGACACTTGACACCRAACAGTGAATACTTTCTGATTTCTATGGTGTGTTAACAGCCCAACAAAAAAAGTGTTTTTCTTTATCTCTCTAAAGTTGTCACAATTCAACATCAGTATGTGTCTGAAAACCAATTATCTCATATAAAAGAGAAAAAAATACATTTGAAAACCAGTTTATACAGAAATGWTCTTTTTTCCTGTCGTTTTAATGTTTTTCTGGAAATATATGGTATTAATAGCTGAAACTACTGCCACTTCCATCAACTACAACTGTAAAAAGCAGCTTAGATTGTGACACTTTAGTGTTAATAATACATTTTAATCAWATACAATAATACTGTCAGTCAGTCAGAGGGACAAACCATTACTGTTCCGATTTGCTGCTAATATTTATGTAATTCTGTTTCTGTGGGATTTGTCAAACACAAGTTCTCGTGGAGCTGTATTAGTTTCTTATACTCAAAGGGTTCCCTTTAAGTAGAGGAAGAAAAATCACTTTTYCGATGCTTGAGAGCATATATTTAGGTGTCTGGAGTGACTACTAACTAAAAAACTGACAAAACAACCCTTTGACATAGCATGAGGCCGCTTAGTTCTGAAAATATCTTATTCAGTGAGCTGCGTGGATTTGTAGGGTTATATTACGTCACAGTAACAAGTTCAGAATACAGTTCTGCAGCCTCTTCATCACTGTCTGCACACACAACATCACTTCTCTCTGCATTCGCTGTGTATCTTCTTTCTTTTATCTGTTTTCTAGAGAATGGCTTTGAATACAGAGGTTGGTTCCCAACAAAGAAATCCATTTGGAAACATCAGTGATACATTTTAGATTTAAACCACCTTTTTTTAAGTTGACCTTTACTTACCCAGACCTGAAAGGTACTTAAACTAATTCCATACTTTTCATATAAGTTTACAGATTCTGTAGGAACCTGGTAAAAGTACATCAGAAAGATGATATTTATTTTTGCAGTTTTCTGTCTGATCACCAATCTTTAAAAGCCTGATCTGCCAATTCAAATGATGTCCGATACCAATTTTTTGTTTTTTTTTTTTAGGGGCGGCTGTGGCAGAGTGGTTAGGGGAGTCGTCCTGGAACCGGAAGGTCGCCAGTTTGATCCCCCGTCCAGCTGTCTCAGTTGTTGTGTCCTTGGGCAAGGCACTTCACCCCTAAGGCCTCTGATGTGTGTCCCATCAGTGTATGAATGTGATTGGCACTGATTAGTCTCCATAGATGATTGTACGTTAGCTTTGTAGTAGATCTAGTAGAGTGCTGTGTGAATGGGTAAATGAGGACACAGATCGTAGTGTGAAGCACTTTGAGTGTCTTGGATGGGTAGAAAATCGCTATATAAGTACAGTCCATTTACCATTTTATTTAAACTGACCCTGTCAGGTATTGTAAGGTCACAATACACCTTGAATGTTCCACTATTATTTTAATGAAAAACACAGAATAACCTTGAAACAATACAAATTGTATTTTAAAGGGCCAATATTATGTGTTTCTCAGGCATACATTTAAATACAATGCCATAATAAAGTATCTATGTCACATTTAGTTGTTATTAAAATGCTKTTTTAATGTTTAAATAGAAAAYRAACTTATCTTCTCATCACTTCCTCTTCTAAACGCCTTGAAATTGGCCTCTGTCTCTTTAAGAAACTCCTTCTGTCCAATCGCGTTCAGTGGGAGGGGGGTGGGGTTTGTATGCGCTATAATGCAGTTTACTTGGCATCTGAAAATACATTTCCTCAAAGGTATTTTTAATCTGAAAAGAGCTTCACTGAGTGAGAACTAGCGTTAAGAGCAGCAGACAGTTAAGTTTCACTTTCAGTTTGCTCTGTTACTGCCGAGAGCCTGCAGGAGTCATGGGCGGGGTGTGTGGGGTGGGAGGGGTGCTCCGTGATGAGGAAGCTCAGCTTAAAGACACGTCCCAGGGGCGTTTCTGGTCCYCACCTGTCATTTTGCTCCTCAGCATGGCTTCCTAAAAACGCTGCAGGATTTCTCAAACATGCATGAATGAGTCAAAGCAAGGCTTTGGGCATGTTTTTTATGAGAGTATAACATTATAACATGATATAAAACTCAAAAAAAGTTAATTTTACATGATATTGCCCCTTTAACTGGACATTAGTGCTCAGCAGAGAAAAGTGGACCGTGGCTGATTTTCAGACCTTTTCAGAACTAGATAAGACTGGCTTCTCAAGTATCACCCAAAAGGAAGGATATTGAGCCGATCGATTGGACGGCTCATTTATCTGTGCACCCCTAACTCAGTCAATTGAAAACTTTCTCTCTGCATGAACCATCCTTGAGGGGAAGTCATGTGTTACACTGTTTATTCCTGTTAACTTAAAGTTGTTTACCTTTTGTTTKTTTTTTTGTAGATTCGATCATGTTGGCTGAAAACTATCCACATGAATCTACCCTCAGGTCTGTACCATAAGGACTATTATTTACACGGTGAAGGTCACAACTCACAGGGCTGAGGGGRATTTAATTAAGTCAGAGGGATTGGCAGCTCTTGATAAAATGCACACTACTCAACCTAATTGCTTTTTGACAGCTCAGCAGAGTTTGCAGAAAGACGATATTGGATTAATAAATGGATAACCCCCCCGGCTTCACCTATCCAAGCCATCGATAGAGCGCGGCGCACCGGGAACCCGCGGAGCACGCCAGTCAGTGTCGGTGACATGTATGTGATGACAACGTCACACAAAAGTGGCTGAAAACACAACCTGAGAGGGTGAAATCTTTACCACGCATTCCCGTGTCACATCTGGTTAGGTACCTCAAGTGTTAACAACGGCCACGTTCACGGGGGAGTCGGTACCAATTAAATTGCAAATGTAAGTAATTAACTGTAGATTCACCTTGAGGCTAAAATGAGAAACGATCAACAGAGCGTCACTTGCATTGCATTTTTTAGGCTCCACAAGGCATCGGTCAGTGGGTCTGCACATCTTTGTTGTGGACAAATCATCAGATATACAGCCATTACGATCTTATTAACATTTAACACAAAGTTTGAGCCCAGCTGTGAGACAAATTCAGCCACTTCATCAGAAAAGTCTTTAAACAGCGGAGCAGCAAAAAACAGAGAAAGCTCAGACCTGGTACTCGTTGGGCCAGAAGGTGCTGACAGCCAGCTCGACCTGGTGCCACTGCTTGCCGTGAGAGCCCGACGCGTTCCACGCCGGGTTTCCGAGCGGRCCGCCGTTCACCCGCACGTACGCCCGCAGGGCCCCGGGACTGTGGCCGTCGCGGCTGTACAGGAAGTAGCTGAACTGGACGCAGTGCGTGTCGTTCTCGCTCAGCGTCTGCAGCTGCAGCTGAGCACGGTGGCCCGCGGCATGCTGGGAGGAGTTCACCAACATGTAGGACCCTGAAAGGAGGAAGAAAAACACCATTCAGTTGTAGTTCGTCAGGTCTGGCTGGGAAACCCAAACTTAGTACCTCAGCTAAAAACAGGGAAACGCCTTAAAGTGGGTTGTTTCAAAGCCAATCCTTGAACTACCATAGAGGTCCGTTTTGACTCACTAAAGCGTAAAAACATTGCTTACACATTGCATGGTTAWTTACACAAGATTTTGGGTTTTTGCAAGAGCAAATAACAACAGGTTGCACTTCCTGTGCAACCTGGAGTTCTTCTAGCAGGAATATCTTAATATTTGAGCCATGATAATAAACGTACCTACACATAATTTTGTTTAAAAAATCCAAACTCTAAATTTTACACTGGCTTAGCCCTTTCTTTTTACATGTGTGAACACCAGGAAAAATCAGAGTAAACCAAAAAGACAACAGCAGTTACCACACAATGWAATCTCCAATTTTGTCTAAGAAGTTGGCTCTAACGTAAATGTGAAATATATACAGTACTTTTATTATCTGTTCTATCACCTGAGCATCATTTATCCATGAAAGTATAAGAGATGTATATTTAGGCAAAGTTAATAACTGAAAAAACAAGACAGCAAAAGTCTGTCTTTCCTGGGGATAGGAAAGAGTCTGGAAACAAGTTTTTTTTTTTTTTACTTTCTCTTTTCTATAACCATCCTGACCTGGAAATGACTAAAACCTAATTTCATACACTCCTAAGACTAAGTAGAAACCCTAATTAACAGTGTAATACAAAAAATGACACCAATGTAAAAGTTTATTAGAGTTTGAATAAAGCTCTATGACATGTTTTAGATTTGAGCTGATTTACGTAATAAGGCAGCAATCAACTTTGGTTCTGGATGCACTTAAATTACGTGTTAGCTCATCAATCTGGTCAGATATAAACTATTATTTTACCTCATTAAAGGTTTATAAAAACAAAACTTTTATCCTAAGAAATAAAAATAGATTTTACGTAAAAAAAAAAATAGAAAAACTGCAATAATGCTGATTGTAAGAACAWATCATATCCTTTTGGTAGGAACAATTACTGGAGAAAAAAACAAACAAGCATAAGTTGTTTGTTGTGTTTGTTGTGTTCTGTTATGTATTTAGCACGTACAGTATGTATTCAGCTGTTCTTCAGTTTGCACAGAACTGAAAGAGGTTCRCAAACGGGCCACTGTGGGACGTCAGCTCTGCAGACTCGTGCGAATTAAAGCGAGGCGTCTCGCAACGAGGCAAATATGGGTTCAACAACTTTTAGAAGAGTGAATCGGTAAGACGAAAGACTAAACTATCATCTGACAACTCACTGGGGCGCGTGGGCAGGTGATGGAGAGGAAAACGAAACGTGCGCTCGTCGGACGTGCGGGACACGATCGGTTCTGACTGGCTCTCATGAAAGTTGAAGACAGACGAAGCCGACATGCGGGAGGTGGTGGGAACACCGACTGACTGAGCGCGAAGGGGAAACTCTGATTGCTGGTTTACCTTTGCAAGGTGACGCCGAGGAAGTAGAYACGATTCACAACCCCCTCCCGCCCTCCTCCTCCTCCCAAAACCTCTTCTAATCAGGAGAACATAACCCCATTGCCCTTTGCCAAGCATCTGTCCTGCCTCGAGTCTGTGCCCGCTAACGTGATTAGCACAACAATGTTCGGAGACCTTCCTGTGTACTCACATAATCAAGTCTGTTGTCTTTGTACACCAAGGTCTTTCTGTTCTCAGTCTGAAATGAGCTCGAGGGGGGGGGAGCAGACAGTCGCAGCCTCGGCGCCAGGTGTCCTGAAGACATTTCTTTTCCACTCAGATGTAATAGCATGCGAATGGTAACTCGTCAGAAACACTTTCTGCATCCCACACAGTCTGCACGTCTAAATTGGGAAGCTTTCCAGACAAAATAAAAAATAAAAAAAAAGACAGAGCTCGCACTGAACTTCGAAATGCRTTCACAGCCTCCGAGCAACTCTCTTTAACAGACGTGCGGCGAGATATGAGCACAGAACTTTTCAGCTTTTGTTTTTCTCCTCACCGAGTGCCAAATCAGACACTTGACGGTCCCATCGGCCTCATCACCAGACACTGAAGGAACACTTAATTATCTCTTTAAGCGCAAATAAGACCATTTTTTTAACAGTCTAAACTCACAGCTTGACGCGAAGAGGCAGCGGGGGGGGGGGGGGTTGGTCTTTTCGCCTCACATTCAGAAGCTCCTGGATTGTGTCTTGGCGCTTTAATTTTTACTTTGCTTAATTAGGTCTTTAACAATCTCCCTTCACTCCTGAAAATCTGAAAGGAGTCGCATAGTGCTCAGGAGCAGCATTTGTTCCCACTGATGAACCTGTCTTCTACTTTTAAAGAGAGACATTATGAAAACCTTTCTGTTGACTCTGCAAAGAACCATGACGCTGATCCAGGACCGGTCGCTCCGCCGTCCTTTTATTACGACGAGCATTAAAGTCATTTGTTCAAATAAAGAATGAACGTGACGTGATGAAGGAAAATAAGTGCCCATTAATCAGACATTATGACAAACCGAACGGGGCTCTTGGATGTATTATGTGCAGTTATCTTTGACATTTTGTAAAATAATTCTATATCTCATTTAATATGGACGTTATAATCAGGATTTACTCATGTAAGCTGACAACTTTTTAAGAAAATTGACAAAGAAAAACACAAAAATAAAAAAAATGGCTTCAAGATCAAAGACATGCAAAATCAACTGAATTGATTTTGAAGGTCTGTGGACATCACATTTCCTAATCTGTAGGGTTTGTGTCATCTGTGACAGAGTTCAATGCAATGTAATTAGCACAGGGCTAATTAGCTTGTCAGAACAAGGATATATGACTGAAACTAAATCTGAACYGCTGCAGGCGTATTTGTTGTGTGATTGATAAACACAGAGTACATTTTGGACTTGTGGGAAATGATCTGAAGATGAGGGAGAACAGCAGCATGTTTCTGTGATGATGGGCCTAATGATGCAATCAGTCTGATTAAAAAGCAATTTAATGACAGTAAAGATAATAAGGAGCAATAATACCGACCAGTATTACTGTGTTTTATTTACCTCGGAAGTTGCAAACATGCAAATGGCAACACACCCAACATACCTGATATAAAGATTTGTCACACTATAACATTTTAGACAACTTATGCCAACGCTTGAAAATTGTGTTGAAAATTCAATCGTCAACATCTACGTTGAAGAAGGAATTTAAAAATCAACTGGAAGCCTCTTTTAGAAGTGTAAACTGCAATGCTAACAAATTGATCAAATATATAACTTTAGTAAGGGACAACAAAAATCTCAATCAGAAAGTCCCCACCAAAGATTTAAAATAGAAACAAGGCTAAAAAAAATGTGCAGCAAAAATTTTTGGGAAAAAAATTGCAATTGCAATAATAGAAGAAAAAATAAGCTTTTGTTTTCTAAAATCCATCTGCTTGATTTTCTTCTCTGAAAACATGCAGAAGACATTTTCTTTCTTTTTTTTTCATACACAGTAAGTACTCAACAGATAGGTCAATTTAGAATGTAAGATTATGTAAGAGTAAAGTCTTACATACTGTAGGAAATTAATGTTTTAAAAATAATCTAAGCACTATATATGAGAGTCAAGAGGGCCTTTATCCACATTTACTGAGCTCATTCCCAGACATCATTAAACAAAAGCGACGGTGCGAGAAAAAAGCCTTTCAGCACCGACACTCTGTGCAAATTCTGCTTAAAGGTACTCTGGAGCGCCTATAGAAAAACAACATCACTGCAGGTCATTGTGAAAAAGACACAAATGATATGAGATAAGAAACAAACTGTCCTGATTTATTTCCCACAATCAAACATCTCAGGAGAAACAGGAGTTGTTGCTAAAATGAATAAAAAATAAATAAAATAAAAACAAAGGGAAGCTTTTCAGGGCTGGGTGGTTCCCTTATGAAGTGATCCACAATGTGAAAGTTAATAAGTTAGTATTAACCTTAAGGGCACTTCATTTAGCTTCACCTTGAATCATGGAGAATGGACAGAATAAGCTGTAGATTTCTGAACATGTATTTTATTTTTGTAAGCCTCTGAATATCAATGGAAGACACTACAACACTCTAGGCAACATTTTTAAATAACAATATTCTGCATCCAAGTCACCCAGGCCTCTGCATTCTCCATCCAAACAAGCAAAATCGGCCCTCATTATCACAGCTGCATGTTGAAAATTGTGTCCTTTTGTATGCAGCCTTGAGTCTTCCTCCTCTTCTTGTCACAACCTGCCAGGAGAACTTTTCATCCCCCTTCCTCATAAGAAATTACGATGTGATTGGGCCAAAAGTTTGTGGGTGTGTTTGTTTCTGATGAAAGAGCTCGGACGCTGCCTTTTCCTTAACCACTCAACTCCAGAGCCTCACTGTTGTACCCAGAAGCAGACATTTATAAAAAAAAAAAACAATCAAATTGTCAACTCATCGATGGAGGACGCACAAACATTGTGCACGGAGAAATCGGTCTACCAAAATTGCGGAGCTTTAACCAGGACAGATTTTGTTCCCTACCCTCACACAGTATAGACTCCAGCAGGAAAAAAACCTGTGCAGTGACATACGGTGCAGCAGGAAGGGTTTCCCAGGAGGTTGGCGCAGTGTGTCTTAAGGGCTGTGAAACGTGTGTGGAAAAATCGACATTGAACAATCCTGTGACGGTGTGCCGACTGTTCGGCTTGGATCGAGTACTGAGCCCTTTATTAAGTCCCATTTGTCTATATGCTATTTTTGAATAAACACCATCATATTTTGACCTACYACCATAAATATAGCCTACTTATGTGTTCATCATGTTGTTACTTTAAAATAACTCCCGTTGTAACAACATAAATCTTGGGATGAGGGGAATGAATTAAGGAACCAGGACTGATGGATGAGTGATATCAACTAGATTTATTAGGTTTACAGCCTGAAGTTTCAACTTYATGAAAATTAACTGGACTTTCTTAAACTTCT